ACTGCAGGGCCCTGGCAGGATGTCCCAGAAATGACCCTTGTTGTCCAGATCTTTTGTGGTCCTGCTTGCTCCTCTCACTGATGAATCTTTTCAGGACTGAGAGCCCGGAGAGGAAGAAATTCAATGGGCAGAGCCCAGCGATGAGGAACACCAGTACCCCTAAAAAAGTCAGGATGCCTGAGAACACAAACCAGGTCCCTCTGCTTCCCAGAAAGATAGGCAGAGGACACTGGGATGTCGGGAGGTCATGTCTCTCTTTGGGACGAGTTCACTGCAGAACCGAATGGGCAGGCACAAGATAAAAAAACACATTAATTCTTTAATTATAAGCAAAGGGGCAGGTTTTAAGATTTTTCAGAAGACCACACATAAATATGTTAGTATCCCGCAAGTACAGTGTGCTGCCATAGCTACATTGCAGTCCTGGGAGCGGATCCCCGCCAAGGGACAGAATGATATCACCTGCATACTCACCCAAATTACCTTTACCTCCTCCAGCTTGTTTTTAAAGTTTGTCAAGCCTGTTTTGGCAAAGCATTCTTCTGGTTTTTTTGTGGGTTTTTTCCTGTTGCCATCTGAGAGGTTATTGCCAGCAGGTACTGTCAGCACAAGTGTGGTTTGTTAAGTATGAAAATTGAAGCATTTAAGATTCTTTGTCTTTCCTGAAAGCATCTGACAAGAAGCTTCACACAAATGATCAGCACAGCTTCCAGGCTGCGTTTTGCGAGCAGGAATGAAGCCCACACCACCTGCAAACTGGGCTCACCAGCCCTTGGGTCCCAGCCCCGCAAGGTGGTTAACCCAAGGCAGAAGCCAAGCCCCAGCAGGGACAGTTTCTGTTACCTCTACTGCCTGGGATCCCAAATTAGAGGTTGCCGTGTCAAGTGGGAACCACAGACTTACAGTTGTTTCTGCTGCATTTGGGGTAACAGCAGCATTTGCGGGGCTGTAGCCAGAAGCACGGAACCAGTGAGAGAGCCCATGGCCAGCAAGTCTCTTGTCCGGCAGAGTGCTGAAGGTGACACCTGGGATGCAGACACAGAATAACACTTAATAAACACAACAAGCCTCAAGGGAAAGCGGGTTCCAGTCTGCAGATTTTGGAAGAGGCAAACCAGCTCCAGTTCCACCAATAGGCCTCCCGGAAAGAAGCAGATAGTCCTGCCACACATTCCCAGGGCAAACTGGAGCAGACATGGAAACCAGTAAACAAAAAAAGCCAGGCGGCTGGATTTTCTGGTCTGGCCACATGTTTGGGGAAAGGAATCCACCAACTCCAGATTCCTGTGTTCCCTTTGTCTCTGCCAATAACAGGATCCCCCGTCCTGGCAGGCCAGAAACCCACTGTGCAGGTGTGTCCTTCCCATGTCCAACAGGAAACCCAGCCTGGCACAGAAAGTGAAACAGTTCCTGGCCTTTATGATGATGAGTTCAGTTAAATATGGAACTAGTGAAATACACAAGCAGACCAAAGTAGAGCTCGCAGCCTGTTATTAAATTAAGCTGAGAAGACATAAGCTTGGAATAACTCCGCACCGTAGGATAATCCTATGTAATGGGGATAGGTACCCATTCCTCGCACAGGGTTTCCAGCAACCTGCATGCTACAGATGGGGCTCACACCGCTGCGGTGTCCTGCCCCAGGGGCCTGCACCCCCTGTCCCATTTCGGGAGCTCCCCAGCCTGGGTCTGCTCCCCAGCTCTGCAGAAGGCACCCACCCACCGCGGCTGCCTGGCTTGCAGCTCCTGTACAGCTTCTCAGAGCGGGTGCATTGCAGGTGCTTGGCCACCAGCAGCATGCAGAACACCTCTATAGCATAAAGCATCGTGTGACAATCTTTTCTTTTTGGATGACAAGGCTGAAAGCTCATTAAAGCTATTATAACAGAGGTTACAGGTGTAACAGAGTAGAGCCATTATTGTGTTCATGCTGTTGCAGCAACGTGTATAATTTAGTTTTCAAACTTTAATCATTTGGCTGCTAGGACAAATGGATCAGCATGATGATGTTTTCCAGAGGAAGATGCTGATAATGTAATTTACAGGGCTTGATGATTTGCTCATGCATCTGGGATTCCCCTGGGATAAGAGATAGGATTTGACGGCTCACCAAACGCATTATAGAATCTATCTCGCTTCAACTTGCTGAGTTTTGTCCCTTCTGAATTTATCTTGCCTTGTTTCTCCCCTGCTGCTGTACCTCAGCTCTCAAAGTGGGGAGGCAGGAAGCAAGAAAAGCCATCTCTGTTCCTGCTCGCCCGCAGTGCCAAGGCGAGCAGAGCATAGAGATCCCAGCCCTGGCCAGAGACACACCTCTGGTGACAGCAGAGGTGAGGCCCAGACTTAACTGCAGAGCCCAAACTGATAAATTATCCCAGACTGATAAGACGATGCCCTGAGCCAGCAAAAGTTGAGGAAGTGGTGGCAGCAATGGGGAGAGGCATCAGGAAAGGCTTAGGTCAGGGAGAGCATGGGGCAGGGACGTGGCTGAGGTTCACACAGCAGAGGTGAGGTGGGCATGGCGAGGCCGAGGTCGTAGGAGAGAAATCAACAGCATCCAATTCTGGGGTAAGCAGAATCAGTATGTATCAGAGCACCCTGTTCACACACATGCCCCCTTAGTGAGTGGATTGGGTCTGGATTGGAAAATAATATAAAGCCAGTGGGATGGTGGATGGACAGAGATACCCTGCACCCACACCCCCTCTGTGGTGCCTCTGTGGGGCTCAGACTAACTCGCCCACTCTGAGATCAGCAGAGGCACATGTTTGGAGGAGCACTGTCCCTTTAAAAAAATGTGAATTTGTCCAGAAACAATTATGCAGCATAAACACAGAAAAATCAACAGGGTGAATTTCGAACTAATAAAGATTTAATCTCTAAGTCATGAGACTGCGTTTGTTAGGAAAATATACATACCCCTGAGAATCCAGCTACGGTTGCTATATTACACACTGTTCAGCAGCTCACTGGGCATTTTTCCAAATCCGTTTATTTTTAACATCAGTCACATTATTCAATTAATTATAAAAACACTGAGGTTTTCAAGAGATGTTTCTGATAAAACTGCCAAGTAAATATGTGTGAGAACAGCAAGGATTAAAATCTCTAAACTTTAGCATTTGGGGCTGTTGCTATAAACAAGAGAAGTCCTCCGAGGAGGTTATTTATCAGAGTGAATCATACCAGATAACACACAGCCTCCTCCCACACCACAAACAGAGAGATCGTTTGTCCTTTACCTAGTGAGGAAGCAAAAGATCAACACGTCCGTCAGCGGTACGCTCAGGGAATGAGAAGTGTGAGGGACTGGGCTGGATTCTTCAGATGCTTCCAGCATTTGAGCATCCCAGCTTGGCAAATATTAAATATTTAGCAGACTGAGCTCTTTCCCAATAAACTGAGAAATAGAAAGCAAAAAAGCCCAGCCAATCTCCAGCAATGTCTCGAGGCCTTGAAAACACCAGGTATCCATTGATGGAACAATTCAAGCCCTACCTTTAAAAGCAGCCTCCACAAACCCTGCTGTATGGGAAGACTGATATGTTCTGAGACGGTTTCACTGTACCAATATGAAATGTTTTCCCAGCCCAAAGTCTGTGTATCTGCTTAACCTTATAAGCAAGAATCATAACAACACATTGGGCTTAATCCAGTTTTTAACTTTTATCCAAGTACATTGACATGTACTTTTCCTAGCAGACTTTTTTTTTTAAAGTCTCACATTGTGGTAGAATTATTTGATAGCTCTGATATTGTCTGCATAGATGGCAAAGATTAAAGGCAAGGAGTCTGGGCATCAAAGCCTGGCAAAGAGAGCGAGGACTCCCAGGCTTTCATCCAAGCTTTACCAGACATGCAAATCAGCCTTGGGAAAAGTCCCTCCCATATGAGCCTCAACCTCTCTGCCAGAGACTCTTAGGCACATCCCTAACTTTAAAAACTAGGCAAATCATATTGATGATTGCAGACTCCTTCAGGACAAGGAGAGACATTTTGTTCTGCTTGCCCTTAAACGATGGAATCCTGCCTAACCAGGGATCCCAGCCACAGCACAGGACACAGCAGCAGCACGTAATAACAGGGAGCCATTTTGATGAAGAGATGTGTTTAACTGGTTGCCACATCTCACACACAGAGGGTGAGACTCCAGCTCCCGGCCCTGCCTCGCGCTGCCCACAGGGGTGTGCGGTGCCAGGGCCTCCCTCCTGCTCCACGACAGCCAGCCCAAATGCTGCTGGTCAGCCTGACCCACGGCCCGCTGTGTGGTACCCAAAGGTGCCAAGGGAGGACAAGGCGGCCACACCGCTGCATTTGTGAGGCAGTGCTGTCTGAAGAGCTGCAGCGCATGGGACGTACCCATTGGAAGGTGTGTCACCAGGAGCTGCCTGAGCAGGGAAGGCACTGGGACAAGGACAGGGCAAGGGGGCCTGGATGTCAAGGGGCAGCGCTGAAGAGGACGCGGAGAGACCGCGTCTGTCAGAGCTGCCTCTCCCATCACCTCAGCCCAGGCAGGGTCACCTCGGCTGCAGGCTCCAGGGGCCGAGGCCTGCCATCCTCTCATCCAGCCCGCTCCAGCCCCGCGCACTCCAGCGCCATCTCGGGGCTGCTCGGCCTGCGGGGTGCCTATGGGACATCCGGGGGGGGAGGGCGGGAAGGCCCGAGGAACCCCCTGCCCGGCAGCCACACGACTGGCCAGGCAGCCAAGCTGCGCCACGTTCCCGCCGCCCTCCCTAGTGAGGCGACACCGGGGCCACCACAGAGCCCCCCGCTTCCCGCCCACTCTCTCAGCCAGGAGGCGGGTCTTGCCCAAACCGACAGCCTCCACCTCCAATCGCCGCGCTTTCTTCCCCGCCCCGTGCCGGAGCAACCAATCAAAACCTCGTCATTCTCGGCCCGCCTTCTTGCGGCTTGTCCAATCGGGCGGCGCTGCTCTCCTGCTCCCCTCCCCCCTCTCCCTGGAAGAGGGCGGGAGGGGGGGTTGGTTACGTAGTGTCGGATCGGTATTCCCGAAGCGCGGTGGTGGTGTTGCTCTGCCTTGTGGCTGCTTGCGGAGTTGGCGTAGCGGCCGCAGTTTGCGTAGCGCTAGCAGAGGCGGCTGTGGCGGGGAGCAGCGGTGGCTGTGGCGGCCGTGCGAGGAGAGGGCAGGAGGTGCGAGCAGGGCCGGGCAGGGACCGGGCCAGGACCGGGCCGCAGGTCGGTGGAGGGAGCCGGGAAGCGTGCTGAGACCTCCCGTCGGTCAGCTCGTGACTGGGGGGCCGGGAGGGGGGCTGAGACCTGGCTGCAGCTCGGTGCACGGATCATGGGGCCGGAGCTGGGCTGCGGTGCGGCCCGGCTACGGCCCAGTGCATGGCCCCTGGGGCTGGGAGGGGGGCTGATACCTGGCTGCAGTTCACCCTGTGGTTCACAGGGCCGGGAGGCAGGCAGAGACCTGGCCACCGTTCAGTGCTTGGCTCAGAAAGAGAGCTGAGACCTGACCACAGCTTAGTGCATGGCCCAGGGGTGCCAGGGGACAGGCTGTGATCTCACTGCAGCCTGGTAAGTGGTCCATGGGGCCCAGAGGCGGGCTGATACTCGTACGCATCTCGGTGCACGGTCCGGGGGGCTGGAAGGCAGGTGAGACCTAGTAGCAGCTCTGTGCAGGGGCAGATATGGCTCATGGAGGGGGCTGGTGGTGCGGAGCAGTCACCAATCTGCCCTCTTGCTCTGCTGCGAGGCAGCCGTAGGAGAGTGGTGCCTCTGCAGAGGTGCCCAGGCCCCGGTGCAGTGGGCAGAGCCGCCTGGATTCGCCTGCTGCCACCCGAGCGGGAGAGGGGCTTTAACCGCACACCCGTACAGGCAGCAGGAGCTTTGCCTGCATTGGTTTGCAGTCATTAATTCTTAGTATCGGTGAGGATTGTTTACTGCCCGGTGTTCAAAACCTTGTCCCTTTTAGATGCTAATCAGCTCTTGCTTCCCTGGCTTAGGTGTTGCATAAATCTGTAATGAAATGACTGTCTCCAGCCCCAAAACTGAACTGTGCAGGGCACAGCTTGGTGTAGACCTGGTGCTGGGAGAAGGCAGCATGCTCGGTGGGCCTGGCTATTGGACAGCCAGATGACCTGATTCGGTTGTTATGCTGTGTAATCTGGAGCAGACTGCTTTTTTTTCCTATGTGCTGCTTCCTCCATTTATACGATACAGGTGCTAACAGTTAGGGCTGGTTGGAAATACAGAAAAGAAACAGATTTTTGCATTTCTTGAGATTGCTTTTGCTTACACTTGTTAGACTACACGTTAGACTGATCTTGCTCTGTAAACTGCTTCTAAAGATGATGGGTGAAAATAGAGCAGATTTTTATTAGCAGCTTTGCAAAACAGAAATTACGAGGGGGATGACAACAGTGAAGCTTGCCCTAGGCAAAAAGGGGAAAGAGGATGTTAGGGCCAGGCTAATTGGGGCCATACCTCTTAAGACTGGTATGAGTCCGGACTGAATATTACCCATCCAAACAGGTTTTAGAGGAGGAGGAGCCCAAGACTGGCTGGAACTAATTTACTCATTTCCCTCCCAAAGGCTGACCCGAAGACCTGTATCAAGGAGTTGCACAACAGGAGGAGATAGAAACTGGAAGCTCTCTGAATGTGCTGCCCACAGACTTAAGGCTTCATCGGAGACTCAAGATGACTTGCCACGAGAGATGCTTTCTGGAGGGGTTGTGCTGAAGACAGAGCACTGCAGCCTCTAACTGGGACAGCTCCTGCTGGTCTGGAGCTGAGACTGACTTCTCTCCCTCCCTTTTCCCTTGGAGATGTTGCAGAGATTTAATCTGACCTCTTCCTCCTCACCTGAAGCCTGCCGTGGCGATGATCCCACAGCCAGATCCGACCACCAAAGAGAAGAGTATTGTGCGTTTGAAGCTGGGCCATCTTTGTAACTGAACTGGAATTTACTCCCTGCTTGCGCTCCTTGAACGAGTGCCGTTCCTCTGCTTGTCTGTGTGTGTTTTGAGCCGCTCCTCCCCAATCTTGTTTGGAATTCCTGGGCTTTCCACGCTGAATTTGCCCATGGCTTTCCTGATGAAGAAGAAGAAATTCAAGTTTCAGACAAGTTTCACTCTAGAAGAGCTGACTGCTGTCCCCTTTGTGAACGGGGTTCTGTTCTGCAAAATCAGGCTGCTAGATGGAGGAGACTTTGCTAGCTTATCTACCAGGTAAGAAGCTGCTCACAGACTTGCTTCCTGGCTGTGCTTCTTTCCCTGGTTATTCTTCAGTTGAGCGGTTTAGCATATGGCTACCACTTGCCTACCCCTTGATGGGATTTTAATAGTTCTGTTGTAGGGCCCCACATGCCACATATTCTCCGGAGCAGGGGGGAAGAACGTAGCTGGGGAGCTCTGAACCTGGGTGGTGTTGGCTGATCAGAGCTGGACTGAATCTTTCAGAGATGTGGGGAGGGAGCAGGAGGCCGTTCCCCTGAAACGGACTGGGGTTTGTAGATGAAATCCTCTCTCCCCCATCCCCCTCCCTGCCCTTGCCCAAGCTCTCACATGCTATTTCAGACCGTATGCTATTTTGCTTTCGTGCCCGACTTGAAACTCAACTCTGTAGAAGACTGTATCTAAGCAAATCAACCCTTCCCAACTTTGCTCTCCCCTTTTGCTTTTGAATTACTGTTCTTGGTAAGAGTGGAAGTAGCTTGCTTTGCATTGCAAATTGCTGTGCAAGGGAAAACTGCTGCCTGGAGTCAAAGTTGTCAGTGTTAAAGACACAGTTTATCTCCTTGAACTGATGCCATTGCATCTTCAAGTTTATAGCTGCAGTATTTTCTTTTTTATGTGATCTGTCATACCAGGATCATTTCTGCTGCACATCCTATAAGGTTGTTCTGCCATCACGTATTGGCATTTCTCTGACTCCTTCAGGCAGGTCTGTCCCCACTCCTGCTACTAATTGCTAATAAAAACTTGCTTTGTTTCCAACTATGCACATAGATTATCACCAGCAGTATGCAAACGCGAATTCCATAACAGCCCAGACTTGCTTTCTTTCTGCCTCAAGATGTGAAGGAAGCCTTCAGTGGCTTTCAAAACTTGTTTTTTTGCTTTCCTGAGTGACTGCTCAGTTTTAAAGGTACAGGATTAGTTTGTGCTAGCTGTTAACTGCTTTATCCCAGAGCTGAAGCCTGGTTTGGTCTGGTTTTCCTCTTTGTGGTGCTGCACACTGAGCTTTCTCATTTCAGAAGAGAAGATTTTATTGGGCAAGCATAAAACATTTCTGTCTTGCAAATAGAAGTGGTAGAGCATTGCTCAAAGCTTGGTTTTTCTTCTAGAGGCACAGTGCAACCTCATCTGAAGTCTGTAGAAGCCGTGGGTGTGGAACACCTCCAAAAATGGACTTTGAATTAATTTCTCTTTTGAAGAAAATCTATCAAAAGAGCTTTTCCTTACAGTGTTCTCCCCTGAGGCTAGATCCTTGGGTTTGGTGGAAGCAGCTTATCTAAGGAATTCAAACAGTATGTGAACTTGGAAAGAAATTAACCCCTCTGCTTCCTGGAGTCAATAAAATGAGTTGAACTGGAGGGTATCTCAGGAAAAGCCTGTGCTAAGAAATGTAGATTTCCTTCTCCCTGTCATCCTTGAAAGCAGCATTTAGGAGCTGTAGCTGGGGTTTGCTGATGCAGCCAGCCGTTTGGGTTGCATTGGGTTGTTTTCTGAGCTGGCTGGCGTTCAGCAGTTCGCTCAGTGCAGCGCGTTGCAGATGTGTTCCAGCAGCGAATCCTCTGTAATTTAAACCAAACACATACATTACTCTCAACTGGCTTGATTGCTTATAAACGAGCAAAGGGGAAGTAGGCTGTTGGGTTTGCCGCCTTTCCCCTAACCTGTCTGTACTCTAACTGAAAGCACATGGAAACCTGTTCCTGCTTGAAAAGTTAGGAGTCTCAGTGGTATTGAGTCATTTGACCTTTTCCAAATATTTTCCCCTGTTGCAGTTAGAGAAACTTCAGGAGAGGTGAATTTCCAGGAACAGTGAGGAGAAGAGTTACTGTGTGGAAAGGCTCCCAGATCATGCCTTGGCTCTGTTCTATGCTCCTCTAGTCATTTCCATGACCTTTTTGATACTCTTTGGATCTGGGGAAAATTAAAGGGAAGGGGATGCTGTATCCATGTTGTGTTAGAAGGCTATACATTATTTAGGACCTGTGATTGTTTCTCGGAAATCAACCACTGCCAAAAACGACTGCGTTTGAGGTTGCAGTGTCTGTCAGGTCATCTTTTGTGAGCTGCTTATGTAAAAGTCTGGTGTTTGCTCTGCAATCAATTTGGGCTTCTTCTGCGGTCTGTGGCAGTAGGAGGTGTGCAGCTATGATTGAGCACACCAGTAGCTCCTTCAGCCCATGAGTTTTCAGAGAACTGATCTGAACAAGGTGTCCCATGTTGTTTGGAGTCTGTAAACAGCAGGGAGAAGTAGGTATAAGAACCCTTTGTACGACACACTAAATCAGTTTTCTTTTTTCTCGATTAAGTGACATATGAAGTGGAAAGAAGAGTGTTGTCTGAGAATATAAGAATCTCCAGAGGCAGATTTTTCAGGTTATTTACAATAGACTTACTTGGCAGCTTGGGCGTGTCTGTAGTGAGAGGTGGAGATACGATATATCCAATGAGTTGCTAGGTGGCACCGGGTTAATTTGACCTGTGAGCAGAGCAGAAGTGGGAGGCTGTCCTGCCGGCTCCCGTCAGCCCATCCTGGTCCCAAGTCCGCTTCAGCCTGGGTTGCACATACCTGCTGCTGCCTGGTGCTGTGGATCCGGTGGGATGCACCTCGGGCCAGGACCCCCCTCCTGGGCTGTGAGCTGCTCACATCTCCTCTGCCTGGACTGGGACAAAGCAGCTTGGCTGGAGGGGAACCTGTCTGAAATGCATTAAGACTTAACACTCTTAGGAATTCAAGGCACTCTGGAAAAGGTCCAGGTCCTGTCAGCATATTCAGCTTTGGGGATCTGCCTCTCTTGGGTTTTCTGGTTTGGTTTTTTTTTCTTGCAGGCAGGTACCGTTTTTCCGTGCTTGCTGTGCTCAGGCCTTGCATTAAACCATGGGTATTTAACTGACTAAAGTTGCAGCTGTGAATATCCTTTTGCTTGTCCTTTCCCCTCCCTTTGTAAAGTCTCCTTACGCTCTGGCGGGGCTTCTGAGTGTAAGACTTACCCGTTTCAGTTTACAGTGCTCTGCATGGAAAGCACCTATTGTTTGTGCATTTATCACCCTGTTGTTGGATTACCGAAGTTGGTCTTCTGAAAATGCATCTGAGCCGGCTGTAGGCCAGGCAGGTGCTGTATTTCCCCACGGAGAAGTACCAATATTTTCCTTGAGTAGTATTAATCCAGATACTTAAATAGCACAACTGCCAGTGAATTCAGTTCCCTCCCAAGTATCTTTAAAAATAGCAGGCACAGAGCAGTAGCGATGTATTCATGGCAACCGTTTTTGTGAAGCAGATGGGCTGCTGCATTTTGTACCAGTTTGAAGCTTTTTGGGGGGGTGTGCATCTTTGTTCCTAGAGAGATGATACGATAAGCTCATCAGGAGGTTTTGGATCCATGGATCGGCGCAGGCAGGAGCCTGGATGTCCAAATGAGGCAAAGCTACAGGCTGATGTAGCACGTACATGTACATCTTTGGGTACCATAGAAGAGGAAGACTTGATTAAATTTATCCCCCCTCTCTGCTTACAGTATCAGTTAATGTTGAGTGACAGCCAGATGCTCTTTAACTTGGAGCTGATTGATTTCTGGCTGCATGTTGGTAATGAGCATTGCTGGTGCATGATGTGAAGGAAGTGGAGAGCCAGGTGTTATCCACAGACTCCTGACCCTTCATCCTATGTTGTTCTGTTAGCATGCCAACAGTTTCACTCTGGTATTTCTGGATTTGAAGGAAGGGATTGTACTCTGAAAGCCCCTAGCTGGCTCTAGAGGAAAAACTGAAAACTGTTTTGCATGAGTAGAGCAACTTTGAGGGCATTTCCCACCTTCCTCATTGTCTTCTGAAGGCACCTCAGACTGTATTTCCTTAGGGAGCATGCGTTCCCAAGCACTTTTCAGCTGGGTTTTCTGATCCTGGCACTCCTGCGCCATTTCGAACCAAAGAACATAGTTTGTCTCCTGCAGCCCAGCAGCTGTTTGCATGCAGGCTTGATCTGGGAAGAGCTGACCCTGTTAGGGTGGTCTGGCCTCAAAGTATTTTGGTGCTGTAAGCTTGAACTGAGAATGTTCTTAGCCTTGCAATTTTTAATAAAAGTGAAAGGCCACTTCCTGCGCTGCATGGGGGTTGCTTTTTTTTTCTGTGTGTGTAAAGCTGCATCAAGAAAGCCGAAGGAAATGCTGATATTTGGGGAGGCACCTCATACTGATAGCTCCCTGTGGACTGAGGTCAGCTTTTGTGTGAGTGTGGCTTTGTCATCCTTATGTAGGTATGGACCTAAAGCTACTTGCTTTTCTCAGCTGGCAGGATGCAAAGTATTATTACGTGTTGGTAGTATACACAACACAGCTGACGATTCAGAAACCTTTGCAAAGGGAGGTGCAAGTTGTACCACCTCTGAAATGCAGCTGTGTCTCAGTTGTGACAGTTGGAAATCATCTAATTCCCTGTTTTCACATAGTCACTGTGCCTGATGTTACAGAATCCTTCAGGTAACTAGGTTCACCATGTTTGGCTCTTTCATACTGGAAAATTGTTAACTGTTTGGTTAATCAGAGACCAAAGGACTGATTCAGCCTGCTTGAGATCTAAATCTTCACCACTGTCTGCCTTAAAACAAAGGTTAAGTAACTAAATAGTTTCTTCTAGAGTCAGCGTCCCCAAGAGGGAAGAAAACTAGTAGCAAAAGGAGAGGATTGCTGGCTGAGTTCTGGCTTTTGATTTGAGTGGGATTGCCATAGTTGAGTAGAGGAAGGAACTTGGTTGTGGCTCTAAACCATTCTCCCAGTTCCATATTTTAGGAGGACATGCATTTGGCTCTATCCTCTGCTAAAGCGTGTGGTGTGATAACATATTTAAAAAGTGCTTTTGTTGCAAACGTGTCTGAAAATGCAGACCTTCCCCATATGTAAATATATTCCTAATATACAGACCAAGAGAGTGAGTTTTAATGCTTCAGAGCAGCTTCACATGCTAACATCCTTCTTCCCTGGCTGCAGCCTCAGGAG